GCCCCTGGCACGGAACCTCCCCTGGGCTGCCTCCGGCCCCTGGCACGGAACCTCCCCTGGGCTGCCAGTGTGGCCTCTGCCCACAGGCCTGACACATCCTGTCCTGCATATGGGCGAAGCACAGCTACGGTCACCTGCCCTTCCAGACCCCAACACTGGTCTCCACCTAGGAGCCTTACCCAAAAGGCCTCATGGGATTCAAAGTCTGGGGTCACACGCAGCTAGAGCCCGCCTGCTCCTGTCCACCCAGCCCGTCTCTAAGCACACAGGCCCCGCATCTCCACCAGGAGCCCCTATGGAAGCCGCCGCTTCTGGAGTGTATTCACATCCTCCAGGAGAAGCTCAGACAGAACTGGGCAGTCTAAGGCCAGGAATCTCAGCTCTCCCTCCTACCACTTTGGACCAGATAGCTCTGGGTCTGAGGGCGTCCTGTGCTGCCTGGGATGCATAGCAGCATCCTGGCTCTACCCACGAGACCCCAGCAGGAACTTTCTACCCCTGCTGTAACAACCAAGAGAGGTCTCTAGCAATGGCCAAAAGTTCCCTGGCAAATTCAGCTCTAGGTGGGCGCCACAGGTTTAAAGGTATCATATGCATAAAATATCTCTGAGGACTTTATCTTCTTTTAAAATTTAAAGTTTTAAATTTAAAGCCATCTAATGTCCTGTTCCACAGTGTATGTGCTGTGCTATCATACCAAGATGTAGTCAATTGACATTCTGAGGAGGGCTTGATCCATGGCTGTATTGGCCTCCAAGATGTGTCACCATGGGAGGGCCATGGAGATGGGCCACCAGAGCAGATGATGAGCTGCGCCTCTGCTCTTCTACCAGGGTGGCAACAAAGCCACTCAGAAAGGGCTGGATATAGAAAATGGCATCCTCTGCAGGCTGAGGCAGAGGATCCCAGAGGAGCCCCTGCTTGGGAGAAGCTCTTGCCTAGCCAAGCTGTGCATGGAGCTGTGTGTCACCAGACTCCCTCTGCTGTCCTCTCCCCAGGGACTACTTCATCACCTGCCCCACGATCAACATGGCCAGACGCTGGGCAAAGACAGCCCAAGGAAATGTCTTCATGTACCACGCCCCGGAGAGCTACGGCCATGGCAGGTAAGAGAGCTGTGTGGCCTGAGGAGGGGCAGGCAAAGAACATGGCCTGGTGGAGGTCCCTGTCACTGTTGTGATGAGCCAGAGGGAGTCTGAGACAAAGGGGGCCTGGGGACAAAGTCTTGGATCAGTGGCATGGGGTACTGCACTAACCTCGCTATGCCTGTGTCATTGTTACAAGGTGGGAATAATAGAAAGAACCACTTTATCTCTCTCCGACTTCAGACAGAAAAAGTAAAACAGGAGATGTGGAAGCCACACAAGGGATGATGCACTTTGGAACTATGGCATTAATTCTTTGTTAGGAATTGATTCACTTGGCTCATGTATTACTCCTGTGTGTGGTACCTCTAGAAACAAAGCACTTGCCTAAGAAAATGATTCTTCAATGTGTGAAAAAGGGTTTTTTTGTTTGTTTGTTTCCAACTGAAAGAAAGGGCAGGAGTCAGCGTCCTAGGGCCTCCTTTCTCTTTCCCCTGGACACCCGTGCTGGCCTTCCGCTCTCTGTCTCAGGCCGTAGGGCCAGCATCGCAGTTCAGATCCCTTGGCTGATCCTCGTGAAGCCACTGGTCAGTCCCCCCAGACACACTGTCTCTTAGTCACTGCAGTGAGGATTCATTGCCACACTAGTCTTGCCCAGGAGGAGCATTCAGCCCACTGCCAAGAGCCTGTAGCAAAGTCAGTTCCTCAGGAGCCGCCGGAGGCCCGCAGCAGTGGGGCATGGCGGTACACACCGGCCGCCGCAGCACTCTGGGCAGTGCGGCAGGAGTCACAAATTCAAGCCCTGTCTCCAAATAGAAAGTGAACAAAATGGCCGAGATAGTAGCTCAGTCTGAAAGCCCTGGGTTTAACCACCCAAACCATTCTCTTCCAAAACTATGCCCACACCTTTGCTCCCCAAAGTGTACAGTGATGAAAGGATGAGAAACCTGGGCACACACCAAGGCAAGCAACAAAAGCAAAAGCATTCCTGTGCGTCCCACAAAATGAGCGGTGCCAGGGCCTGGGGTCAAGGCTGAGAGCCTCAGACACTGGCTGCCTCAGTGATGGAGGCTGAGGAGAGGAGTCCAAGTGCAGGCTGGGCCAGCTCTTCTGAAATAGGAGTGGGTCCAGGCCCGTCCCCTGCCGCTGGCAGCCGGGCACACCATCAGTTGTGGACCATGGCCTCTCCCAGTGCCTCTCCACTCCTCCTTGCTTTCTACATCTGTCTTTGGCTCTGAATTTTCCCCTTCTGTAGGAACATCAGCCACACTGCACTAGGTCTCACCCTAATGACCTTGGTTTGACCTAATCAATTCTGGGAAGAAAGAGCCTTGCTTTGAACAAGGCAGCATTCTGAGGTACTGGGCTGAGGACTCCAGTGGGTGGCTGGAGGGGTGCAGCGAAGCTCACGCCCCCATCCTCCACCCAGAGCAGCAGAGCCCTGCTAGGGCCCTCCTGAGTACGAAGACCCTGCTGGCTGGTTAGCCTGGAACTGGGCCTCTGCAGAGAGCCGTCTGCCAGTATCCAGTCATGTCTCCTACCCTCTGCAGCCAGACTGGCCTCTTCTCTTGCTGAGTGACCTCCGCTTGTCCCTCCAGAGATCTTCAGATGGGCCCGCTGCTGGCTCATGGACCCGCCCACGAGAAAGCCCCTTTCAAGGTGTCTGTGAGTCTTCATGGCTCAAGTTCGCTTTCCTTGGAGCCTCGGGCACCGGGCACAGCTGGGGACGAGGCAGGTGTTCAGGCATCCTGCTAAGAGCAGAGGTGACTCAGCCACTGCATCTGATGATCATGTTCCTTGGGACTCAGTTTTACCATCTGTAAAGTGGAAGTAGGGAGGCAGGCATGGCTGGAAACTGATTCTTGCATGGAACCTGCACCTGAGGCGCCTGTGAATTGGAGAGCGAGGAGTTTCTGTGCCCCCAGGACCCTCTCCAGCTCACAGCCAGAGCTCGGGAAGTGCAGGAAGCCCACTCAGTTCAGGGAGGCTTGGACCCTGAGCCCAGGGATCCCTAAAAGCATGTCTGGCTCAGCTTCTGTCATTTCCAGAGGAGACACACTCAGAGCCACCAATTCCTCTGTGATGTGGCTGTGGGCATAGAGGCAAATCAGTGTCGTGGTGAAAGGCAGGGGCACTGGCACCTACTTTTGTTAGGGATTGTGTCATCAACTCTGATCTCAGTGACCTTCAGTAAATTGCGCCATCTCTTCAGTGACTCGGGTCCTTCCCCTGAATAGGAGCTGTCGGGGCTATCCGAGCACGTAGAGAGCAGCCCTGGTGCACCCTAGGGGCTAGGAGAGTCTTAGGGTTCTCAGCTGTCAGAACGTGCTCTTGACAACATCCTGCGCAGACAGCTTCCCCCTGCCACGGTCACCACGGGGCCACCCACAGAGCAGACACTGGGATTGGCAAACAAAGCATAGGAAGGGAGGCTTTGCTTGTTGCCAAGTTTATGTTTTCTTCCCCAGAAGATAAGATGAATCTCCGTTTGTCTGTCTCTATGATCCTCCCTCTCCATTTCACTCTCTTTCCCTGCCCTGGAGCTGTCACACCTTTCATTTTATTTCTGGCTCAAGTCTACGCACTTAAAATCCATGCATGCATGCTACATTCCCAGCCATCTGCCTTGCACCCCCCTTCTGTTGGCATCTATTAGACTTCCTGGCAAAAGCCAATGAACAATACACAGTAAATTAGTGCTTCCTCACAGACCATTTCTGTTTGATCGCAGAATATCGCTGAGGTTTTCTGTGGCCTACTGGACTACAGATGAGATTTCTGTCCCTGAAACTGGGGGTAGGAGGAGGGAAGGGAAAATCTATGAGGAAAGACGAGCCATGCTGGACGGGGTGGGGAGACAAAGGAATCGGAATCTAGAGACTAAGAGGCGCCTGTAGGATTCTGATTCAGAGACTCACAGAATACAGAAGGTGATCTCTCCTCGCGCCTTCACTTTACAAAGAACAGACGGCCAGGAAATGAAGGGGCTGTATCCCTGCTCCAAGCCGGGAAGAGACTGTCCAGGGCAAGGCCTGCCTCTCGCGGGCTCTGCAGCTTTCTCTCGGCTGCACCCACATCAGCAAAACCCTGAGGAGCACTTCCCACTTAGCAGCTCTTGGGGCCGGCAAGGGGATTCACCTCCCTGAGCCTTCTAGGCGATCCGTAGATGGAATAGTACTGTCCGTCCCATACAAGTCCTGTGAGGGCTCAGGGACCCCACACAGTGTTTAGCCCAAGACTTGTATCTGGACGTGTGTGTGTGTGTGTGTGTGTGTGTGTGTGTGTGTGCGTGCATGTGCACAAGGGCGGCACACACGCATATCTGGCAGGCTTTGACTCCAACATCTCTGTTGATGTGAGGACTAAATCACCTGAGGTTTTCCTCTTCTCAGAACAACTTCCTTCACCTCACTCACCCCAGCTGTGACATTGCACAAAGTGCACAGTGTAGGTTTAATACAAGTGAGGTCGTAAATGCCCAACATTTGCTAGTGAGGGTTCCTTTCCTTTTTGAAAGAATAAGGCTCTGATAAGAAACATAAATAAAGATGACTAAAGGACCAGCAATGTTCCTCCTTTATAAATTGCCCCAATTTAAGAAAACAAAGCTATAAATTCTAGACTAGAGATACTTGGTCACCGCTGCGTTTGTGTTCTAGACACTCATGTGCACTCCAGGGCCCTTAGCTACTCCAGACTCGCACTATTATCTCTTCAGGCAACTGCTGTGGTGTTTTGGAAGCAACCAACCCAAGAACATATTAAGCAGCTGGATTCTTGAATTGGGTCCATCAGCCTTAGCTGCATCCTGTGTGATTAACAAGATTATTTCCCAATATAGGCGAGCATCAGTCATTTTCTGAAACTAACCAGTTCAACTCCATGACACAGTGGGGCTCACTCTGTATTTCCTTGGCAGTACTGGTTCAACAACCCTGTACCTGTGCTGAGGGTGGGTCAGCCCACAAGGCAAAGAGGGCTGCTGCCTGGACAAAGACCATCACCAAGATCAGCTCAGAGCAGCTGGTAGAACTGTAGCATGAGGTACAAAGAGGCCAGGGAGAACTCTCTAGAAAGGTATGATCCCATTATATATTTGAGCAGTGAGCAATCCCAGGACTGTTAAATGCTGAGGCCCCGAGGTATGGAAAGCCCAAGGGAGCTGGGGATTAAAAAAGAGGTCACTTAGAGGTTCGTGGGAAAAGAAAGGGCCATGTAGATCTCTGGGGGCTGTAAGTCCTATCAGGCAAAGGGTTAATATTTTATTTGAGTGTGAAGGGAAGTCATCGAAGATATTTAAACAGACATGCTATCTAGAGCGATGTTTCTTTTAGTCGTATGCCAAACACAGCTCATTGAAACACTGGGTGTCTTCTTGTTGCTGTTGCTATAGTTATTGATAGAATGTAGCACAAAATCCCGATCCAATATGAGGGGTGGTCAGCCAGTCAGAAGAAGCCATTAAAATGCAAAATTATAAAAACATGATCCTGATCATTATGGCTATATAACTTAAACATGTTATTTTAACTTTAAGCCTGCATGCTCTTCCCATTCTTTGGGTGCTGGGTCAGAGGCTCCCTTTGAATTTCCTCTAAACCCAGAAATAAAATGTGTGGTTCACAGTTTCTAGGGTAAAGCTCTGGGAGGTGGGACTCCACATGGTAGAGCACTTAATCATATGGTAGGATCCTAGGGGCAGGTAGAATGGGACAGAGCTGTGGTTCTTAGCACCACACCTGCTGATGGGCACAGGTGTGTTGAGTCTGGATGCTTTGGCATTTCTATGACACTTCAAGGGGGTGGTGTATGAGGTATTTGGGACAATCCTGTCATATTGAAGTTAAGACTGTTCTTCAAGACAAAAACATTAGCTCTTCTGGCTTTGGGGAATTCAGGAAATGTCTTAAATATTTCATTTGGGGACGTGGTGGGGCTGTATTATTTAAAGAAAATTGGGGAGTTTGTGTTTAAAGGATTGCATAGCAAGTCCATTTATAAAACAAGCCATTTGTAATGCC